AGTCATCAAATTAGTTGATTGTAGGGATCTACACTTTGAAATCCGACAGAGAGAGATAAACAGAGAATCAGAGCTACCAGGTTGTGTCTATATTTATCTCACCGGGGGCTGCAGTAAGGAGATTTAGCATGGAAGAACTGTCGGTGTAATCTCACATTCTTCCTCTGTATATGCATTATTGAAGTGCAGTTGTGTGTATGAGAAAATGTGTGCGTGTTAGTGTTGCACAATTCTTGAGAGATGGGATTCACTCAGAACTATCACTATTCTTATGGTTTAAAAAAAAATACTGTAATCTTCCTGGGTCTTGGAGAATTAGACAAGTTTGATAGCACACTGTTATGCAGCATCATACAGTGCATCAGCTTCATCGTACTATATTTTGTGGCTACTCTTGGTTGTTACCCTTGTGGTGCTCCGACTGTGGCAAAACAGTATGAACATACAGGCATCTGACTGCTTTTGACTCTTTTCATGGAAGAACCACACCAGACACAACACACAACAGAATATGAGCCTTTTTCAGTACGAGCACAACAGTGTTAGATTTAGATTTCTGTTTCTGCTTCCCCTGCCTATGCACAGTTCAAGGGAAGTGACACAGTCTTGTCATTTGTTGTGTAACTCAGGGAGAAATTAGAAGTGCTTTGTTTGTTGCAGCTGAAATCCCTGCAAATGTACATATGAAAGCATCAATGAAGGCTTTTGCACAGAGGCATGACTTGTAAATTGCACTTCCACTATCACTCAGCCCTATTGTGTATGTACCATACGTGTACTTTGACCCATTTACACAATGCAAGTCTATTCATGATTCAAGGTCATTACAACATCACAGTTGTCTTTGCATTTATATTTCACACATTTAGCACAAAAAAAAGGCTTTTACTTTGAGTTGTTTCCCATCAAGGACAGCCGGTGATTTAGCGGATCAGAATAAGGAGATGCAGTTGGGAAGGTTGAACCTTCACCATTTGGTTCCATTCAGAAGGATAGATATCATTATGTGCTAAAACCTCAGTGAGCTCAGCAGACTGCTGCCACTGCTGTACTGAAGCTGGTGGGAAATGCCTTGAACACAGCCTCGCGGCAGGCCGGTTATCTGGAGTCTGCAGGTCCAAAAAAAAAATTCAAATGCATCTTAAAAGAGCAGCAAGTCTCATAAATCTTAACAATCCACTGGTGTCCCTGCTGTGTTGTTTTTCATTAAGAAATTCCAGTTTACAGACCTTTGTCCTCTTAGTTTTATTATTTATTCATCTTGAGAATATGGATTCAGCCCCACTGGAGGAGTTAGGGGCTTTAATGTCTTGCTCAGGGGAACCTCAACAGTAGCTACAGACATTTATTTATGTGTTTGCAGCCAGTCTCACCATTTGAACTGGAACAAAACAGTTTACTATTCTAGCCATTCTTCAAATAGTTTATTGTCACACATTTAAGTTAATTTGAATAGATTCAATCTAATTAGACTGTTTATTCACCCTTGTCTTTCTGTCTGAGTCTGTCTTGATGTTTTCCTGTCTGCTTTGTTTGTCATGAAAATGTTAACTTATTCTCGGTATAGCAAAAGATGAGTTTAGCTCGTGAAAGTTTATTTAAAAAAAAAGAAGGAGAAGAAGAAAGAAATCCCCCTCAGCCATCTCACAACTTGTTCGGTTTTGTAGTACTACAGTTTAAAGGTAGCTTTAGACGTTCTAAACAGTAGCTCAGTCTGTAGGGACTTGGCTAGGGAACCGGAGGGTCGCCAGTTCAGCGTCCCAACCCAGACCCAACAATAAGCTTGCGACACCACGAAAACAGAGAGAGAGAGAGAGAAGATGTTGAATAGCGGTTAAAGTTTGAGTAGGTTTTTTACATTTTTACGCCAAGTATTTGTGTAATCAGGAGGAACAGCGCCAGGACAAGAGACGGTTGGAATAAAAGCTGACGCCAGTTTAAGTCTGGGTCGACTCCTGCCAGCATGACACTGGGAGATGTTGCCCCGTCGCACGACATGTGACCACGTCACCCAGGGCTAATGAATGGCAAGTGCAGTACCCCGAGTATGGACGAAAGAAGCGCACTCCCCATCCCCGGTCTGCTCAGGCCCAGTGCGTGAATACATGTCATTTGTATTGAGCACCTGCTAGAGTCTTGTTAGTCTTTCCTCCGTTTAATGATGTGCTGTGTCGGGACTTGCGGAGAACCAGAATTAGCTATGAGGCAATGGTTGGCGACAATCACACATGAAGAGGTGCGATCGCGATTAAACTTAGCACGCCCTTGTAGTTGCATTGTGATGGGACGAATATTGTGTCACTTGATAGTTGAATTGTGAGTGTGTGTGTGTGTGAGGAGAGCGAGGTGTAACCGTGAAGTAATACTGTAAGGCGAGTTAGCTTGTGTTTGCAGTAAAGAAGACAGAAGAAAACAATTGGCAAAGTAATAAAGTTGGAGGTGAGAAAAACAGGACAGATATTCCCTCAAGGCTATATAGAAATAATAAGTGGAATTAACTACAGTCCAAAAAAACAAAGACGGACGAAATGAATCTTATATGCTTATAGTTTCAACAACCTGTATACTAAACTCCAACTGTCCTTGTCTAACCCCCACAGCATCTTGGCGCAGAATACACTTTGAAAGCAAAGCAACAAAGGTTCATTTAGCTTGTGTATTCAAGAGCTATTTCCAATTGGATTCAAGAACCCAAACAACTTGGCCATTTTTAATACACTGTTTGTTGTTGCAACAATGCTTAGTTATTTACATCAAAACCACAGCAACTGGCAAATGCCACCATAATGCATTTTGTTTTTGCTTCCAGCCAAGGTTTCAAATGTTTGCATGAAATCCACTTGCAGATCAGTTGGAGTAGTTTACAGTATGAAAGCAATAATTAATAAGGACTTCCTGTCCCTGTCTTTTGAACCTGTCCAGTGCATATTTTCCTTTTTGCCCTTTAGATAAACTCGTCCTGTATCAATCCAAATATCTTTGCCAGACCTCTGTCTCTCCCTTCTGAAAGTATGCCTTAGTTTCCAATCGCCTGGTTGCATTGCCTCTCCTCCCCCCTATAAAATTAGTGCATATGTGTCTAAATAGATGAAGCCAGTAGCTGCAGTTTAATAAGGTGAGCTCATCAGTGTTGTGACCTCCCACTGAAGAAACATTTGAATCGGTAATTCCTTTTTATCCTCCCATATAACTGCGCAACTATCAATTGTCCTCCCACCAGTCCCCCCGACACACAGAACACATCATTAACAGAGGGAACAGACTAACCCAAGACTCTAGCAGTCCTCTATACAAAATTGACATGTATTCCAGAAACGCGCAAACTGGCCTGAGCAGAACCGGGAGGATCGGAGTCGGGTTTTTGCGACCATATGGGTACCTGGGCACTGGCATTCAAATTAGGTGTGAGTTGTATGTGTGCGAAGGGGGGCCCCCCACAACCATGCAGTGATCCATGTGCCCCAGAGTGCACAGATTAATGGGTCAGCTTATCTAAATGTCTCTTGCTCCCTGTGTCTCTCCTGATACCAACAATACCTGGCGTACAAAATGTAAAAACGTACCTCCCAAAGCAATACGTATTCAAATCTCTAA